TTTCAGTATATAGGATCCTCTCCAAGCTTGATCTGCATCCCCTCCTTTGTGCTTGTGATATACTCTTTGCCATCCATTAGTATTCCAAGGTAGGCAAGTCCTGAATTTATAATGATGCTTTAAAAATCCAAAGAAAAAGCATGCTCTCCTCCCCTCCCCCCAACTGCTAGGGGAAAAAAATGTTCAGGCTTCTGTTGTACCTAATAAGAAGGCAGGAAAAAAAGAATCCATCAAAATATATCCCAGGCTTTCCTAATTTTGTGATCTCCAGATGTTTGGATTGCAGCTCATCATATTTCCAGGACTGTTTTGTGGCTATATGGGGATGATAGGAGTTGTAATCTGGAGGGCACCAGATTTGGAGAGGCAAATAACAGATGATTTAAGAGGTCTGCTTAAGTTGAGTCTTCAATTTTTATGCAGAATCTGCTGGCATCTTGAGTTATGTTGATTTGGGAGAAGATTATTTATTGGGACCAGTAGAGACACTGGCACATTTTTTTTCTTCCTTTGCAGCCATTTCCAAAGAATGTTAACCCAGCTGGAGACTTTTGAAGTGGCTGCAAATGACTGGGGAAAGTACAAGGAAACTCAAGAAGGTGGGGGAAGAGCATGATTTTTTTTTCTTTGACCACCACATCCTCCCATTTAAGCAGGCGGCTGTTTTTAGGGGGACTCCTTTGAAGAACTGAAAAGGGACGGATCTGCTTGTTGAATTGCGTTAGTATTTTATATGTTGATCAGGATTGTTCCATTTGTAACCCAAGAGCACTTACCGAGGTCCATTCTGCAAGTAATAAAGCATTAATTCTTGTCCTCTCATTTCTGCTGTGAAATGGTTACTCAGAGCGAAAAGGAAGAACTCTTTCTTTGCTTCTTGTTTCTGGTCTGTTATATCAGGCTTAGAAAAGAACTTAGGCACAGCCTTTTTAGTAAATGTCTATTTTAAGTAGATCTTAGCTTTGTTTTGCTATTTGCGATTAAAAAATAAGGATTGATTAATAAATCTGTAATTGGGGAAAATCACGTAATTTATATAACATAAGATCCTAGATTTTGAAAAAAGCACATGTCAACAGCAGTTGGTATTTATTGAGTGTAGCTGTATTTATCAAAAATAAATATTTTTTTAAAAAATCAAACTTAGCTGAATGTTTAGAATTTTTAATGTCATTTTTTTCATCAGAAGATGGTCCCATATTTTTCTGTATCTATTAATGGTAGGTCAAAGATGATTTTTCCAGAATATAACTATTTCAGCTACGGAGTTGTCAGAACCTGAGAGTGTGTGCATATGATGTGGAAACAGAGATTGCATATAAGATACTTATTAATGCTTCTTCGGGATCCGTAAAGAAGTGATTGTCCCAAAAAGCTATTTTCTATATCAAACATCTTTGTTCAAAATGTTAAACAGCTAACATGACTTTCATGAGCAGACTGGGATTTCTGGTCCATTGCAACCTGGCAACGTTTTGTTAGATTTTAAACTGAAAAGTGGTTTCATTTTTTTAGAAGACCTTGTTAAATTTATGCATCTTAAGATACTGTTGCTAGTGTCAGTGTGTTGTTATCAGTAATAATTGATAACAGTTCGCCTTTATTTAAGTTTTTAAAAAAGAAATGCCATGCTATAATTTAAAGAAGAAAGCACCTTGCATCATCATAATGAACTTTTCTTGAGTCACAGCATTAAAAAATAGCATTTCTGGTGAAGATGAAATATATTTGATAATATTTCTGATGGCTCTGTCATAATTGAGACTTACAAGGCACAGACTGGTATTTCCATATGTCTTTCATTGTGAGATCTTCCTATACAGATTCTCCTGTGTTATAGGATAGTTATATGATAAGATCCAGTTGAATTTAAATGTGGCTTTGAATGAATTTCATGTGGCTATGTTGGAACATACGTTCATTACAGTTTTATAAATAACCCCACAAAAAATCGCTAACCTGCAGAAAAGGTTTCATGGTCTACTGAGGGCTAGCATAGAAACAAGGAATTGTCTTTCTCAGAAATATACTCTATGCGTCTAATAAAGAGGACTGTAATCTACCAAAGTTTAGGGAATATACAGTAATTGTTAGATTGGTGCAAGATATTCCATTGTTTTTGGTGCAAAAAGATTAACAGAGCTAGCCTTCTGGATCATTTGTTTGCTATTAGCTTACTGACTTCAGTCCTAAATGCAGAACAAGGAAGTTGTGGAACATTTTATCACATATTTCATTGGCCTGCTGATTCCATGTAAACATTTCATGCAATCCCCATTTCCCAGTGGCTACTAGGTCAGCTCTTAAATACAAGGCTATAAAACAAGAAATCATTACAATCAAAGAGGAATTTCCCATTTTCAGATTATTACATAAAACAAATCCTTTTGCTACTCATATTTTTCAACAGTGATTTTTGAACATGATGAGTCAGTAGGCTGCTGATTAAATTAAATGCATTGATAAGACTGTTGCCTGTGATCAGTGGAGACACAATCCATGATATGATTCTGGTTGCAGTTTTGCAGTCTTTCAAACATTAGTCATAACTAAATCATTTATTTCATTAAGTTTTTGCTAACTCATTCTTGATTGTATTCAAAATAGATAAGTTTTCCTTTGTAAATTTATTACTAAAATGTTTAAAAGCAATTCCTTTTGAAAATATAAAACTGTAATGTACATTTTTCCTATTTTTTCATGTGAGAATTTTTTATACAGATATTTCTATTTATCTTGGGCTTAATAGACTTTTTACCTCCAGATCAAAAAGAGGAATCTACCATTGGCAAAAACATTTTCATAAAAAATTGAGTAACTAGAATAATGTTTTCATTAAAAATATACAATACTAAAGTTGGGAACAGTAAAGAAAAACTATAGTAGAGTGACTGAAAAATTAGCAGAACATAGCCTACTTTTCAGGTCTGACAAACAGTATTTCATCACCCATGGCTTATCTTCTTTTTTGTTTTTCTCCAGCTAGCTATTTATGTGACTTCATTGCTCAGAAAGGAAACTGGCAAAGACATTAAACTCTATATTAAATAATAGAGAATTCTGCATTTAAAATGAAACCCATTTTGTCAAATTTTAATTTCATAAATATCTTGTTGGTTTCCATAGGTGAAAGACTGAAGTGGACTGATAATTTGAGAATGGACATTTGATGTTTATTTCTTTAGTTTTGCTGCTGTTTTAATGTAGCCATTGTTAAAATGACTTCACCTTCCCCTTCAGCCACAATTTTTGTTTCATGCCCTAGACATTGTCTTGCTTAGCATTTTATTCCCTGTGTGTGTGTGTTGTTTTGCCTTCAAGTCCTTGTTGACCCCTAGTGACTGCCTGGACTAGTCCCTGCAGTTTTCTTGACAAGATTTTGGAAGTGGTTTGCTATTGCCTGCTTCCCAGGGCTCAGAGGGTATGACTGGCCCAGGGTCACCTAGCTGGTTTGTGCCTAAGGCAGGACTAGAACTCACAGTCTCCCTGTTTCTAGCTTGGTGCCTTCACCATTACACCAAACTGGCTCTCTCTCTATTCCCTGACCTCCTGAAAAATAGAAAATGAAAGAATCAACAGTAATCATTTTGTTGAGCAGGAATATGTTGATAATGGAATACCTACATCAACCAACTTGAGCTGGATTATTAAAAATGATAGGGTTGATTTGGATAAAACTTGTTTGTATATTGCATATGCATATGTGTGTTCTCATTCAGTATTATGAAAATGAGTACCTTTGCCTCATGGGTAGCTGCTTCCTCCAGATGTGCTGTGAGGTCAGTTAAAAGAAGTTTACATATATAATCCAACTGTCTGCCTTGTGGGGGTAATAGCCTGACTATTAACTGACATCACAGGGTGACCTTTGGAGGGACACAACTGCTCACTACCCTTTTTGCATAATGCCCAAATGGAGCTTATGTCCTGTATGCTGAAATTAGGAATTACTAGGGAGAAGTAAAGGTGTTTTTGTTCATTTGTTCTTGATTAGTTTATTGACTGTCTGGTTTAGCTAACAAAGTACCTTTACCCTTTCTCTTTCCAGTTCAGATGAACACATTATATCAGGGCCAGTTAATCAGTAAACTTTTCCTGCAAATCCCACATAAGCCACACAACATACTGCCAGAGATCAAATGAGGACATTGACTAAAGGCTTTGTATCTACCTCACAACTTTCCTTATAATGTAGTAGCTAAGAGCTGCTCTTTTGAAAGAAGGGAAGAGTGTACAGAGAAAATAGGTAGAAAGGTTTATACACACCCCTCTTTTATTTCATTGGTTTGGCTTTAAATATTAAGTATAACCATTTTGCTCCTTAAACATGACAGGTTAAATATTTAGCACTTCTGACTTTTAGATGATGTTCTAGGTTGTGGTGGTATAGTCCTCAGTTGAAAGATAGAACTTAGTTTTTTCTTTAACTGAAAGTGATATTCTTGAAATGTGATGTTGGCAACCATCTCTTAAATTATGAGATGACCATTTTTAAAAATTGTCTCATTAGAAGGAATATGGCTAAAACTTCATTATTTCTGGACCAGGATAGATGAATGGCTATAGTATAAGAGTGCAGACATAGAAGATGCTCTAGAATATGTTTTTAAGCATGTTCACTGCTATATCTCTACAGTGAAAGATAGGAATTTGCCATCCTCTTTGTCCATGAGTATATTCGGAATTATACAAAACATGCTTAGTTCTGGAAGCTTTTGCAGTAACTTGTGCAGTTTGAGTGACAAATCCATAAGAGTGAGTACTGAACCAGCCTCTCAGTTCCACCTCATTCTGAATGACAGCCATTGACATTTCATTCATTTTAATGGCACAATTTTATAATGCAGTTTCATTTTCTTTGGGTAGCCTTCATAATCATGGGGTTGGTTATTGGTCATACATTATGGTGGAGACATGAAATATGTACTGATATCTTTTACAATGATCTCTAACCAGTGTTATCAAAATAAATATATGTATCATTGTATGTTTGTTTGCAGAGTGCAGCTGCAGCGCCAAGTCCAGTACTTGGAAACATTCCTCCAAATGATGGAATGCCAGGAGGACCCATTCCTCCTGGTTTCTTTCAGGTAAGAGTTAATTCTCCTGATCTTTATGTAATTAATTGGTATCTTTCTGTGGTGGTTTTGTTTGTTTTATTAAGCCTTAGTTCTGGAATCGTGTTTAAGTGATAGATTCCACTTGTCTGGAAACCAATATTAGTTTTTGTTTTTATTTTAGTTCAGTGCATTACAAAGCTACTTTGGAATGAATAAGATATATGTTGATCATGATGGGACTGTGTGTAATACCGAGCATTCAGGATATGAGTTCTTCTTTTTCCTTTCTGGTTAACCACTTGATTTTTTTTCTAACTGCTGTCACTGAATTCTTCGGGCAAAACCAACTTAAACTTTAGCCACAGGCAGAAGCTCATCCAAACTGGGCCATAACTGCAAAGTTTTGGCAACAAGAGAGAAATAAAATATTACAGAGCTGCTTTTTGGGATTGCTTATTCTTCTCCATCTCCTTTCTCATAGTAAAGTTTGCTTTTAGCCGCATGGAATTCTTGCTATTAGATCCATGAGCAAAACTTGAGGTGACAGAGACCCAAGATAAAAACAACAAAACAAGGATGGCTAAAGCTGTTTTAAAGCAAATGCAATTCTTAACATTGTTTTTTATTCTCCAAATAGTCTCCTCTCTTAGGTGGGTTGAACAAACTGTGTCATTCAGAAGGATCAATTGGGCTGGGTTGGAGAGTTGCAGTTAATTTGCATGTTATAACTATTTGCCTATTATTTGCATAGGCACACTCAGAGGATTTTCAGCAGTTAATATGATGCTCTGCTTTTGGAACTGCTAACTCCCAATGTGCTTGAACTTCAGTTCTTGAAGAAGAAGAATAAAGCAGTGGGTTTTGAAATAATAATAATAATGCAGTGAGTTTTGAAATCATGGTATCTGAGAAGGAGTGAAGCTTAGTTTAACACTTTGTTTCTTGTAATTTGATGTAGTTTTCAGGAGCCTTATGTCTCTGGCTGACATAAAAGCAGTCATGTATAAGCTCATGCTGCAAGTGTGGGGATTGTCTTTTTGCTTGTATCACCCACACACAATTAAGAGATGGGAAGGATTTTTCACTAGTATTTATGTGTTGGATGAACACATGAATGTAACATCTGAACAGGGGTAGTATATCTCTGTAAGCATTAGACACAGAATCCCTAGTTTAAAATCATAACAGTTGAAATCATCATTCTAATAAGAGGTAATAGAAAGACCCATGGCTGGTAAGCTCTAGTAACCATTTTTATATTAGAAGAATTACCCAGCCAGATCTCTTTCACATAAATGATTAATATTGGTGGAAGCTGTGACTTTAATTTTACATTTTCTGAGTTCTGGATTTATGTAAGACGAAGTCTCAGTAGCTTGATCAATGTTATGAGGCCTACATTAGAATTGTAAAATGATCAATTCTGTGGAAGTCTCAGGATGGAGCTGTAGATATGTCTTTTTGCTTTGTTATTTTAGGGAAATAAGTAGTTTTAGGAAAGTTTTACATGTGATAAAATGAAATCTGTTGATTTTTAGGATACTTAAATAAAGACCAAATTAATTCTTTAAAAATTGGTGGAAATAAATGAAAGCTTATTCCCTTTTCCTAATGAGTATTTCAGAAGTGGTCTGTGTTTGCAGGCCAGTGTTTGAAATTGTATGGCTAACGTGCTGTTCTTGATACTGTTGAACTCTTAACACCCATTTATCATAGACAGTGTAGTCAATAGTGAGGGATGACAGGAATTGCAGTCCAACAGCATCCACACATTATCACTTTTAAGTAATTCATTTAAGAGCATGTGTGCTGAAATTTAAGCAGAAACTGAATTGGAGGGACTTCTATCTTTTTAAATTTCAGTTAAGTATAACAACAGTGCTGTTGTTAAAGATCTAGAGAGCACCTCATAGCACATATCACATCTGTCCACCTCATCTTAAAGAAGTAAATTCCATAGTGTTTTCACTGTTGGAATGACTCGCTTTCTTTTCTCTATTCTGACTCTCCCTATTCAGTTTCATTTCGTGAACTTCAGTTGTTGAAATATTCTTTCTTCCCCCTCTATGAAAGTAAGTTCTTAGACTTTCCAAACTACATATCCTAGGTTTTCTGTGAAGGATGTGATTGAGTATAAGGACCAAAGTGCAAATATTTTGTGAAAATGACCACATTCCCATTTCACTTCCATTTTGGAATATGTATATCAGCAAGTGTCCACAGGCTAAAAAACCTGGACCTATAACAGTACACTACCATTTAATTATATGCTGTAATTTGCCTAACCCTGTGATACATTTCAGCCATACTGTATGTGATACTTATATAAATAGATGTCATTTGATAGAATGGAAAATTTAAGGAAAGCATGTAAAGTTATGTGCCATTGAAAGTGTACTTTCAGCTTGTATAATGTAGGTCTTCTAGTGATTGCTACATAGTCTGCTCTATAGGATTTGTCCTTCTCCTTGACAACATGTGCTATTTACCTTCAAAAAATGAGGTCAGTCAGGAAGATGAGCTCCTCAGTGCCTAGGAACATAGCTCTTATGGAAATCCTGATAAGAGAGTTTTTTCAGCCATTCATTTTCATGGGGATTTCTGTCCAACAACTGGGTAGAAAAGCAGACAAGGTTTTCAGGGATAGGGCTTCATGGTTCCTGGCATTTAGAGGTGAAGGAGTTCAAGGAATGAAGCTTGTAGACAGAACAGAGACACAAATGTGCATAGTTCTATAAATGCTCACTATGACTTTTTAACTACGATCATGACAGCTAGATGGAATGAAGCACAAGTTGATATTGCTGTCTTTTTTATATCCCATTTTGATGTAATCTTGGCACACTTGATCACATGCCCTGTATAGCATGCTCACCGCCACGCAGAAGAGAAATCCTCAGACTTTAATATGTTCCTTCTGATCTAAGAAAGGATACTGTTTGAGACTGTTTAATTATGACAAAGGCAAGGAAAAGATCAGCTCATGGTGTCTTTGCCAGGGTCAAGCAGGTCTGTAGATTGATGATAAGAATACAGCTTGTAATGGCCTGTTGCTGTCTAAGCAGTTTCCAAGGGAAAAAAATCACAAGAATGTGAAAACCCTTTAAAAAAAAAAAAAGCATCAAGAACTGCTACATTGGTGTCCATACCTGTCAGTCAAACCCAGAATGCATAAAATGCTGATTTGCCCAGTGTTCCCAAATCAGCAATACAGGACTAATGCTTGTTTCAGTGGTTTGAAGCCTCAAGGCAATGCGCCAGCACCCTTAACTCCCCCTCCCCACACAGACCCAGGCACTCTTGCAGGCTGAACTTTCTTCCTCCTTCCTGCTAGACAGAGCAGAGGAATGGTGGTAAAGGAGTGAGGGCAGCCACTGCAATCAGCCGACTATTTTTTTCATCACCTGCCCTGCCTGCCTTTCACATTTCTCCAGAAGGGCAGGACTTGCTACCAGATGGCTGGCTTTGCCTTCTCCAGTGGAGGTAACTTCAGGAGCTTTGTCAGCAATCAACAGCTCTGCCAGGCCCTGTCAAATATTCAACACCAGCCACAAACACTAGGCCTTTCCTTGCAACTGCCTGCATCTCCAGTTTCTCTGTAGGCTTAACTTAAGAAAAAGACCTGGGTCTGTCAGTATGCATCTGGTTGTGTCCTTGTGCTTGTTGCCCAACATTTGATGGCTGTGCATTTTCCCACTGAATTTTGAACTTGGTGTGTAGCATTTTAAAAATCTTTCTGATGAAATGGAAAGTTGAACATAAATCAATGTCTGTTGCTGTGTTAGCTATGCATCAGCAGTTAGTGAGATGCACCATAACAAAGCACTAGCAAGTTTGTGTTCCTACACTGCCCCCTAATGCATTGAGATCTTAGGAGTGAACAGACAATAGTGTACCTAAACGCTTTTGCATGTAATTTTTTTTTTTTGTATTTATTCAAGCTGCATTTATTTACTACATTTTATTTATTGGTTTATAATCTTATTGATAAAGCAGAACTGAAATTATGGAAAGGAAAGAAAACTAAGAGCTGAATTACAGAAGACTGATTTCTTGCATGAGTATAGGTCAGTTCTATAGCAGAAATTACATTTTCAGGTACATGGGAAGTATATAGCTGTGCTTCATCATGAGAACCTGCCTTATATTGGGTTTTCTGCCATACACACACATACACACTGAAATGAACAAGTATATGCCCTACTGGATGGAATTCGCAAAAGTTCTTATACTGTATGTCATGCTTCTCAAGTCAGGAGTTAATTTTGAAATTTGAATTCATTCTTGGAGTTTATATATTGCCCATGATATTTCTAAAGCCTTGCTTAATCGCTCATGTTCTGGGCAGGCCATTTAAAGGTGATGACTGGTTGGCTGTGGTTGGAAAATCTGGTATGCATAGAATAATTTGGGTTTGGGAGTTGTAACATTTCATGCGTCTTTCCCCCAAAATATTTTTTGTATCCCTTTCCTTTTTGGTAGAGGCAACCCTTAATGAAAATGAAACATCAGTCCTTGCTGTTTAACAAGCACTTGACAGTTTTCAGCAGTATCTTAAAGAAGGAGAAAAATCAGTATATGAATGAGGAAGGAAGATGGAGTGGAGAAAAGAAACATGGATATGATAGAAAAAAATGTATTTTTCTGGCTGCCTGCTGGCTGTTGCCTATGTTTTTGCAAATATGTAGAATGTTCATATTTGGGGCAGTTATTCTACAGTGCAATTCATCCAGAGTTCATGGCACAGCCATACAGATCCTTTTTAACATACAGTTTTAATTTTCCTGGTCCATACAGAGATTACTTCTAACCATGAAATGTTGAGTCCCAATGTAGACTTGCACAGGTGCTTACAGAGTATTGAGGGATTAGAAAAACATCCTATATCAGGGTTTCTCAACCTTGGCAATTTGAAGACGTGTGGACTTCAACTCCCAGAATTCCATGGCTGGCTGGGGAATTCTGGGAGTTGAAGTCCA